AAAATGAAAAAATAAATTTAAAAAAAAAAAAAAAAAAAAAGTGACACATATCTGACATCAGTGTGAATAGATATCTGCCCCGAAATGCCTTACATGCAACCAATAATGTCACAGACATGCATGGGGGAACAACAACAAAACACGTCACATTTGCGAGACAGGCATTTGGAAAATAAAAGGGACATAGCGGTGCAACTAGCCATTCATCTAGCAAAGGTCAGATGTCAATTTATCGTATGTTAAGGATGACGGTGAGAAGATGAAGGAACACAAAAGCCATAGCTGCAGTTCTATTAGCAGCTCTTGCTGATAGTTCTGTGAAGAGAGAGGTGTGGGAGAGGAGTCAGGAGTGGTGGGGCTGTGATGTGGAGGGTTTTACGGAAAAACAGTTCCTTAAAAACTTTAGGATGTCCAGGGCTACAATTGAATATCTCTGATGGCGTCTCACGACAACAGTAGCCATGTTTCCATCAGCCTGTTTAGATACACATCTAGAAGTATCGCATCGGAAAATTATGATGGAAACGCCAAAATTCGAATTAAAATCCCCTGATTCGCACAAACTAAAATACGCTTGCTTTAGCCGGGTTTTGGTTGATTCAAAACGGGGGATGGAAACAGTTATGTTCGAATTAAGTCTGACGTAGCGCACCTCTCTCCATGGTGATATCCACACTCTGGGTCGGGAAGGCGGTAATGCATTTACAAGCTGGTTGCCAACCGCCAGAAAACGTAGAAGAAGAAGAATGCGAGACTTGTTTTGTTTTCCGTCCTGCGGAAAACTTGCGTGAGTTCGTAGTTTTCACCAAAGTCCGTACATTTAATGGAAACACACAGGATTCGTATTTCTTTTAATGCACATTTCCCAATGATTCGAATCACTTTTGGATAGAAACATAGCTACTGTCATGGCAGGACTTGAAATGTGCGCAGGCTTTCCCCATCAGAAAGTGTCTGGTAGTCGTTTTAATGGTCCACCTAGAGACTATATGGTGAGCGATTTGTGCCTGAATTACGATGTGTAAAAACCATGGCTATATGGGGAAAACACACATGACATATTCTGATATAACCATCCTCATGGACATTGATCAGGTATGTATTCAGTTGAGGGCCATGTATGAAGGTGGCCTTGGCTGACTGGAAAAAAATGGATTTCTGTGTCCACACTACTCTAAAAAAAATCCGGAGCAAGCACGTAACTAAAAGTCCAAATAAAAGCAGAACAAAAACTAAACTGAAAACCAAATGGGATAATATGATGAACTCAGGAAAAAACAAATCCAAACAGAACACCAGAGTTCGAAACAGAGCAAGAACATGGGGATGAGCACAGGGATGAATGGTGGATGAACTGACAAGGAACAAAGGGAAACACAGGTATACATATATATATACACAGAAAACTAATCACAAGAACAAGACACAGATAGAATAGGAGGATATGGGCAAAAGGAGGGAAAATGGGATTGGGAACAACAAGGGTGGAGCAAACAAGACTAATACACAACAGGTGTGAAAGGAAGACTCTGGGAACAGGGAAGGACTAAAGAGACAAGTGTGACAGAAAACAGGCGGGAAAACACACAAAGACAGGAAGTAAAACCAGACACGACACATGAGGAGAGAATCTACAAAATAAAACAGGAAGCAGATTAAACATGAATGAATATCATGAAACAAGACACACAAACAGAAAACTCCAAAACACATAGGGTAACAGGATATAAACAAAAACCCAGGATCATGACAGAAATGTTGAATCATTAACACCCAACACATCGACCCAAAAAAATTAGACTACCCATCCATCAGCAGAAAAAACACTTTCTTTGCAGTCACTTGCTCAACAGATCTTTACTATTTTTGCTAAATTTATGTAGTTTTGTGTTTGAATGTTTGTGACTCGGGAGATGTTGGCCATTGTTATGTTCCTCTGTTGATGAATGTTGAATTATTCCTGCCACCTCCTGCAGCTGAGACAGTCACCTGGTAAACACTCCACCAAACACCAGATGTTTGGAGACCCAAATGCAAGAGCTTCCATGAGATGAAGTTTGGCACATCAGAAACAGCTTCATGCGTAAATCTTCCTCCTCCACTCTTAGATTCACTCCTCCTGCTTAATCAATTAGTTGACGTCTCTTGGCTCCTCAACATTCACACATTTTCCCCACTTCCTGCAATTATCTAATCAATTTAAAATTCAAGAAGGTAACTCTCTCTTGGTTTTCCGTCACAAAACCTTCCAAACCTTCTCTCCCACCCACACGGGGGAACCAATCAAGAATTAGTGTGCTCTCTAACTACTCCAATCAGCTCCTGCGGTATCTCGCTACCCTCCAGCTGTCACTGCTTATTTGTGCATTTCCTTTTCCAGCGCCATCATAACCAAAGGTCCATTCACAGAGGATATGTGCCAAGTCAGGGGTCTTCACTGTGCCTGAGAATATCTGCCTAGAATATCTTCCCCATAATCAGGTATATGGGACCAAGTGGGGTCGATGTCAAAATCAGATCATTTTTTAAGCAATTAAGTTTTAAATTTTTTAATCCTGCTCTCATTAAATGGTTAGAAGTTGGATATCTAAAGTCTGTAATAACAGAAGCAAAATTGTCATTTAGGAAATCACAGATTAATACTTTGTCTTCGTCTTTGTACGGTAAGCAGTGAAACACTGTATCTATAATGAGATCTGAAACCTGTTAATGAGAGTTGCCTCTTTGTCATGTGATGTGGAGTTTTAGGGACACTGCTCTGTAAAAGTACGAATGTATTGAAATCACACACGTATTATGGGCTTTGTAAACCCGTTCTGTCAACAGTGGGACTGGTGCTGTCTGGACAAATAAACAGGAGGGCAGTTAGGACGATACTCACCCAAAAGCAAAGACATCTGACTGTTTGGAGAAGGGAAGCTTGTCCTCCTCTGTGTCCGGAGAGAGCTGCTGGATTATTTCTGGGGCCAGGTGACACAGCCAGCCGTTGGGGATCCTCAGTTTGTCTTCTCTCCGGCTGCAGAGCGAGGAAACGTGGAGATGGAGACTTGTCAGGGCTTACTGATCTGCTGCATCACGCTGCCAAGTCATTAGTGATGTTAATAGTGCTGCATTGTCATTGCAGATCGTCATAATAAGACAAGGTGACGATGCTGCTTCTCAATAACTGTTTCGAAAAAGTGTGCGCGCTTTACGTTTGCAGCCTCTTGCAATTTCTAACCATTTTCTGTAACAACATCAAACTCACTTGTTTATCTGCACACAAATAGAAACGTAAAAATTATGATTTGGTTCTACTGGGACTTTTGCAGTGTTTGAACACCATGGCTTTTAGGGAAGCCCTATTTTGTGGGGCTGGGATTGAAGGGTACTGTACACATGCACGAGGATACATGAATGTGCCAGCCTACACGCATAAATATACTATTAATACATTTGAATTCATACAGAGAATATTTAGCCTGGTTAACCAAAGTGTGCCTCCGTGCATGAATGGCCACAGCAGAAATAAATTGCATCATGTTTATTAGACATTAATGATCTAAAAGTGTTATCTCTGAACAAACGCACATGTTGACAAGTGCATTACTACCTTATTATTTCAGGAACCTAAATAAACAGAAAAAATAAACCTATACAGTAAATTCAAAAGCAGGTGTTCTGACAAGCTCGTGTCTCTTTCCCTGTATATCAAACCCTTGACTTGATTCTTGCACTGACCTCCCAGTGTCTTGCTGCCATAGAGAAGTTACCAGGTAAACAACTGGGATTTAATAAACAAAATACAGTGTGCTAATTAGTGAGCTTTTGAGATGCTGGTATGTGGATCATTAACCTTTGGCCAGGCTGGCTGCTTCCTTCTGTTTCGGGTCTTTGTGCTAGCTAAGGTAACACACTTCTGGCTTTAGCTCTGTAGTTAATACACAGGTAAGACAGTGTTGTTGATCTTATCGCATAAATCTCTGCAATAAATCAAATAAGACTATTACTCAGAATGCTGATCTATTCCTTTAAAACGAGGGACAATGAACAATATAGTGACAGTAAACACATGAAAATGTAGTGTAGGATATGTAGATTAGTCCATAAAGACTATTCAAATATAAGTGGACCGTAAAATTGTGCATAATTTTAGCTCTCCCACCATCCCACCCTCACACTCCTTCACCTGAGGAATAACTGTATAATTCAATAGCCTCACTTCAAATGTATCATTCACAGTGTAACATCTAGGACTGATTCAACTCATTATATGTGGTAAATATATTCAAAAAACAGGCACATTTCATCCCTCATTTAAACATACATATCGCTCCTCTTACCTGTAGTGCTATTTATACATGAAAATTGTTTTGGTGTGAGTTGCATAGAGTTGGGAGATATCGGCTTTAGAGATATCTGCCTTCTCTCCAATATGATGGAAGTAGATGGCACTCAGCTTGTGGTGCTCAAAGCATCAACAAATACATTTGAAAAACTCAACAGCAATGTCTCTTTCCAGAAATCATGACCCATTTAGCGAGCTAAATGGTGTCAAGGAGGACGCTGTTGATGTTAACATCTCATGCTGTCACGAGCATGAGTCTCTTGTCCATGAGTAGATGCACCTTTCCTTCTGCAAGGTGATTTAGTCGGTGGGTGTAGTTTGGTAGGAAGAAAATTGTTCCTACGTGAAACTGATTACAACAAGGTCTGTGGATTATCTTGGGTAACCGGGTCATGATTTCTGGAAGGAGACATTGATGTTGAGTTTATCAAATTTTTCTTTCTTTTTGCTTTGAGCACCACAAGGTGAGAAGTAGAGTGCCCTCTAGTTCCATTATATTCGAGACAAAGCAGACATCTCTACAGTAGTGCTGAAGGGTATACTGGTACCAACGGTAGACCACGGTAATAAAACACGACGGTACATATGATACCATAATGTTGGAGTACCGTACTTCACCATACCACTACTGTGGGATAAGTTCAAATCCAATTGTTAGAGGGTGAGTGTCCATGCACCGTCCAATAATGGTGCGCGCTGGCCACCTGGCACTCAATATGCTGCTGCAGAAAGTTATTATTTCTTTCTTTTTACTTGTAGGCTAGATTTGTTTATATATGCTACAGTGATTTGTTTTCCACAGAGCTCTATGGTGCGAGCATTTTACTCGCATTTGCGACTAAAAGTAGTTTTGTGCAAGCAAAAGAAATCATTCCGGAGCACGCTGTGCGAGTACAGATTTCAACCAGCAGCAGAAACGAAAGGCGAATCCTGCCGGTTGTGGGTTGAACGGGGGTCACAGAAATACGGCGGCCATAGTGTTCTGTGGCGCAAGATAACAGGTTACCGGCGACCGAGAAGCCCGGCTCCAGGTCCAATAACTTCCTTTTGTTGGTGTCACGACTGCCTAGTAGTACCTGAACAGCCGAGCCGTGGCGGCACACAGGTATGTGACATGTCAGGGGAGAAACGAGCCGTTCACATTTCTCTCTTTGTGGCAGGTAACGGTCCACAAACCTCACCGCACTGAGGGGACTGTTCTTTATTGTCAGGGGAGGAGGGTGGCTGGTTCATTTTTGGTTGATTTTTATTTTATTTATTTATTTTATTTCGACCCCCTCATGTTAATCACTTATTGATGCTGTTTTTGAAGTATGAATAAGTCAATAAGTAATTTATTCCATTGAAATACCATTGATGTATTATAGAAAAGTGATTTATCTGTATATAAATATATATAAATGACAAAAGGCACATCTGCCTAATTTTTGCTGTGTTATCGTGATACTACTCAGAACCGTGATACTTTCACTGGTATCGTACCGTGGGTCCCAATTTTGGTACCGTGACAACACTACTCTACAGCTAATATCTCCAACACTCTGCAACTTACAACTCACACCAAAACAATCTAGCTCGATAAATAAATAAATCGGTGAGAGGAAAAAAAATATGTATTTTTGGTTTTGAGGTGAACTGCCCCTGCTGGACCTGCAGTTGTAGGCGTATTCAGACGGCTCACTTTGCTGCTCTCACTGGTCTCTCTTTCACTGCCAACAAACAGTTTCTGGAGGGTTAATGAAAGTCTTGGCCTCCTGAGGTCAATCTCAGGCGGATACAATATATGTATTTTCAGGTTATGACACGGTAAATGAAAGAAAATCTGCTCTATTTGTTAGAGAGGCAAGAAACAAATTTATGGCGTTTTGATCGTTAACCACTGCACACTCTTTGTATGACATCTGTGCTTGTTCCATCTGTACTGTCAGTTTTATCCAGCCACTACTGAACCTCTGCTCATCCTTGACCTGGTTACTCTTTCTTTTTCCTTTGAATGCTGCTCTTTAACACTGTATCTTTCAGCTGTTAGGAAGTAATTTCTCCCTTGGCAACGGTGAAGATGGACAGTTTTCACTTGATCTACACCCGTTAAGGGTAAATGATCACACTCTTGTAGGTTAGGTTAGCATAGATGTGGCTCTCATAGTTGTGGTGCTTTGAAAGCAACAGGAGAAATAGGGGCTGGTAACAACCCTTGATAAGTGCAAATATGCATTAAAACATTTGTTAAAATAAATGAAAAAAAGCTTGTTTGTATTACTTCAAATATTGTATGTTCAGACTACTGATGAGTAGTCCTGTTTTTATGGTAATTCTTGAATAAACATAGCATTACTCACTGGCTTTAAAATATGTAAAAATAAAGCTGGCTGTTGTCAAAGAATATCATTACTGACACTGTCTTTTTGTGAATATGTAAACTATTAACTTCCACACAGTGTTTTGCTGCACCGTGTGTGCCAATACTGTTATAATAATGTCAGTCCATCTCTGATGCAAATTCCTGCATCGCACATGCCGAAAAAAGTGCTCCTGTCTTGGATGTGTACCGAATATAATTACCTGCCAGCCTGCAAAACCCCAGATATGGTGAAGAGTCCAAAGTCGGTGATTACGACTTTGCCGTTGTCATAAAACACGTTCTTGGACTTCATGTCTTTGTGTAAGATCCCCTTAGCGTGGAGGTAGCCCATCCCCTGAGGACAGAGAGACAGAGATGTGACTTTTTCTGTAATATGATGTGCGCTGCAGAAGTGTTGTGGTGAATCAGTGTTGAGTTGTTTTACCTTGACCATCTCTTGTGCGATCTGCCTGGTCTTGTTAACGTCCAGGACAACCTTGGCATCCCGCACCACAGAATAAAGTGTCCTGCCTTTACACAAGCTGAGAGAGAGGAAAAGATTTTGAGTTACCGTGTGGACTTATGTAACCATTTTATTTACTTCAAAACATCTGAAAAACACTTCAGGACATGAGTGCCCACCCTCCCACTAACCACACTGGGCTGATATTACAATGTTGGTCTAATACAAGGTAAGTTTGTGTAATGAATATCTCAAAATTCTCAAATCAAAGTGCCCCTGTTCTCCAACAGTTAACCATCTGTTACGGGCCACAATGAATTAAAAAATGAGCCCACTCTTCTCCCACTCACACTTTACTTAACTGACTATATATTCATATCTTCCAATGCACCGTTACTGCACTACAATTCAGATTCTTTTGTTTATTCTGTTTTATTCAGTTTTTATTTTCTATTTAAACTGACCTTTTAAAAAAATTCTTTATTCATGTCTTTCTTTAAATTGCTTTGTGTTCCTTTTATATCTTGTTATGGGGCATTTTTATGTGTCTTATGTAAAGCACTTGGATTGCCTTGTTATTGAAAGGTCCTATACAAATTAAATCCATCCATCCATCCATTTTCATCCGCTTATCCAGGGCCGGGTCGCAGGGGCAGCACCCCGGACCACCCTCTCCCCAGCAACGCTTTCCAGCTCCTCCTGGGGGACCCCAAGGCGTTCCCAGGCCAGATGAGATATGTAATCCCTTCATCCTGTTCTGGGTCTGCCCCGGGGCCTCCTACCAGTGGGATGTGCCCAGAACACCTCCAATGGGAGGCACCCAGGAGGATCCTGATCAGATGCCCGGACCACCTCAGTTGACACCTTTCAACGCGACAGAGCAGCAGCTCTACTCTGAGCTCCCTCTGGATGTCCGAGCTCCTCACCCTATCTCTAAGACTGAGCCCAGCCACCCCACGGAGGAAACTCAATTTGGCCACTCGTATCCACGATCTCATTCTTTCGGTCACTATCCAGAGCTCATGATCATAGGTGAGGGTTGGGACGTAGATGGACCAGTAAATCAAAAGCTTTGCCTTCCTGCTTGGCTCTTTCTTCACCACTATGGTGCAGCACAGCACCCGCATCACTGCAGATGCCGCACCAAACCGCCAATGCATCTCACGCTTCATTCTACCCTCACTCGTTAAAAAGAACCAGAGATACTTGAACTCCCTCGCTTGCGGCCACAACTCACTCCCAACCGAGAGGGGGCAATCCACAGTTTCCCGGCAGAGAACCATGGCCTCAGACTTGGAGGTGCTGACTCTCATCCTGACCACTTGTATAATCACCTAAAAATAAGAATCATTGTGTTTTCGTTACCTTGGAATCAGCTGTTTATATTAAGGCTTCGTCTACGGAGATCGCCATGTTTTTCAGTAGTCCAAAACAGACACATTCTAGATAAGGTCATTCGCATTTTCACATCATCCACCATAGTTGGCAGCCCCTGTATGAGAGAGTCAAAAAAACACTGATTGTTTTAATAAAACTGCCTTATCCTTTTTTTTAACCGGTTTAAATTACCAGGTCCGTTTGTCTTGGAGAGGAGAAGACCTCTGCAAATAATTGCACTCATGGTAAAAACCTTTTGAACTTCTGGATTACAAACCAGGTAAGCACACATAAAGTTATCTGAGAAAATAGATTAGCAACATTAGCCGGTGCTAGGCTAACAGCAAGTCTCCAACATGAGATTTCAACTCATCTGTTTTGAAGAGGAAGATACCTCTGTGGATAATTTGGCTCCGAGATGAAACCTCCTGTACAAACAGTGAAGGAATTTCACCAAGAAAGGTTTTAGCTGGTTGCAATCCGCAGTCCTCACTGATAAATCCCCCTAAATCTTACACACTGTTCCTTTAACACAAGGAGTGCTGCAATTACGTTGGCTTCCAACCATGTCAGTTTGATAGTTGATGTGCTCTGGGGCCTTGCTGTGACTATCAGACACTTTCCACAGGTGATAATCAAACTTGCTTCATTTCTGCCAATGATTTTCGCCATGTTTTTCTTCTAAAAGCACAGTCTTACCCTGAAGTCCACAGGTGTGAGACTGTGTCAGAGTGTTAGTGCAGTTTGAGATGTCATTAGAGGATGAAATGCCATCATTCTGAGCTGGAACGTGGGCCTGCTCAGTCCCAGGGTGAGCCTGTTACACCATGATGCGTGGAGGTGGTGTCATATTTCTGGAGGGGTGCCATCGCACCGGCGTATTAATAGACAGCTCTACAGCCACCCCCCGCCTCACACCTGAAGCCCTCTACCCCGACTGTGCCACGCAGGTGACCAACAAAGGACCTGAAGCCAACAGTTCATGCATATTCATCCCCGACATTGACCTGACAGCGGCTGCATTTTTAGTGCCTCTCTTTCCTCGGGCACTTTGCAACTCAGAAATGTGGCTTATAGCTTCGGCATCTTTACATACACATTGTGTGACAACAATTACTGACATACCTCAGACAAACAGGATGTGTATGAGCCATACTCAAGACACAGAGGCGGCGTCTCATTGTGCTCAGCTGACGAAAAGCTAATAAGGCCTCCCCGACACACTGAATACCATCTATGTGAGTAATTATGCCATATCCATAGATAAAAATCCAGCAGTATCATCACAGACGACCCTGTGTTCTGTATGCTCGACGAAATCGATCCACAGTCACTTGTAACAAATGAAACAATCAATTTTTATGTTTCCACTAATGCATCCTAAAACTCTCTCTTATAAACCAATAAACCATGTTTAGGTTTAATTTACAGGTTTGTAATGTTGCACTTTGGGCTGCAGGAGTAGGAGAAATTGAAGTTCTGGTTCCCTTTTATTTTTTTCAAACCGTGTAATGACAGAAGCAGTGTACTGGTGGATAACAAAGCCACCTGTTGCACTGACATTTGCTATTATTTTCAGCAATCAGCAGCGAGCACTGTTGAGAAGCTGCCAGCTCATCTGTCAGCTCCGATGCACTCACGACAATTTCAGCTGGCAATCACACATCTCAATAATCAGTCGATTCATTATTTAAAAGATATTTACGACTAAAGTGAACGCGATTGCGACTGGAGTCAAATTTTTACATTTAGCTTTGTTTCCTGAATCATTTTCTGAACCAGCGTTGCCTCTCTGTCTTCTCTTTAATGGAGAATGAAGCAAAAAACAAGTTGATTTTTTTTCTGTCGAACAAAAACAGAAAAGAGAACACACAAAGGGGTAATTTATTTTTCTTAGTGAGACATCTTTCTTTGTTCACAGCCTGTGTAGATGACAGTGGGAGGGTGGCAAATATCCGAACAATTTCCTTTTGAACATTATTGGCTGTGCTTATTAATTAAACAAGAGAGTATTCCTTGTGATGGTCTTTAACAAGAACACAGCCATGTTACAAATGAGAAAATACTTGCTGCAAAAAAATGGGAACACTAATCTGTGAAATACTTAAAGTTGTTCTCGTATGTGAGAGAATTCTCTCCAACCACTGTAGTCAAGACAAATGCAGCAGGCGATGTAGGTGTGGGTGGTTCTAGCAGCCTCTTCTAATCATAACCTCCGCACGCTTATTGTCAGCTACTCCAAACTCATTTTCCCAGAGGGGGGCAGATCTGTGGCTGATCTAAACTGAGTCGCAGGGGACAAGGACCAGCTCTGGAGGCCAAACAGCTACTGTACCTAGCTCCAAATTCAGAAGCAGCGCAAATCACAGATAACGGAGGTGTGACATCAACTTTCAGGAGACTCAGGGATCCGCAAGAAACACATGAGGAACAAATGGTCATGTGAGGAGTGAGGAGGTCCAGTTTATCAATGAAAACGCCATATTATTATGTTGACATATTTTTCATCCAGCCCAGTCGCCAGAATAAATTGCTGGCATTGCACATTTCTGAAAACCATAGGCATATTACATTTGTACATATGCATCATATCAGTGTTTCTAAAGTGACGCTGCTCAGATTACATGTACATGAGGGGACTTTGTCATCACATGGAGGAAGGAATGATGGATGGCGTGAAACCTGGGCAACACGGCTGCCAAGTACAGACCACCGTTCAAGACCAACAAACAACAAAACTGTTTGTTTTTTAACATTTAGCATTTGCAGCAGAAGTGGGTGTTTTTGTTTGCCACTACTTTCCGTAACTATAACCACATCATTTTTGTGCCTAAACACAACCACACATTAATCACGGTATTTTTAAAAACGTAAAAATGTACAATGCCAACATTTATTCTGGCAATTGAGTCACCATGACATGACACCAGCTGAGTTGATTCCCCAGTTTTCTCTACAACACAACCTGACACGTCTTTCTCCTTACCTGGTGATGATTGCCAGGTGTGGCGGGCTCATGCAAGCCCCCATGAACAGCACCACATTCTCGTGGCGAGTGTTGCGGTAGGCCATCACCTCACGCTTGAAGGCCTTGAGCTGGTCCTCGTTGTCGCGCTCTATGTCGATCAAGCGGATGGCCACCTCGCCGTGCCAGCGTCCGTGGAAAACTTTGCCGAAGCGCCCCTTGCCAATCATCTCCCCGATCTCCAGCTGCTCAAATGGGATGTCCCACTCCTGCAGGAAGATGCTGGTCTGGCTGGCCTTGCGCGGGAAGTTGCGAGCCGACAGGAGCGACAGGTTCATCTCCTCAAACTCATCACCGGAGTCCTCGTCGTTGCCCTCCTCGTTCTGTGAGAAAGCAGAATTGAACTGGTTGCTGTGGGCCTGCAATTCACGGATTTACAGATTTACAAGTATGATGATTAAAATGCCCCCTTATCCAACACAAAGAGGTGGTGTTAAAATATTCTGCCAAGATATCAGATGCTTTTATTCTGACAAAAGCCATTCAGCAGCTGGAGGATTACAATCTGCTAAAACCTCCTCTACACCAAGTAGGAGTTTCAGAGATAAGATGGTTGTTTATCTGCTGACTTTAACGCCTTGTGGTGTCATATTATTTTTGTAGATTGCTACATATGCAATGATTCTATCTTCGTTTCTGAAGTTTACACTCCGGGGTTGCATGGCTGTGAAATCATATGAAAAGAAAACTCTTCAAACATCCCTTGGTATATCTTACTATATAATGATGAAAACTCTGTGTGTGTGTGTGTGTGTGTGTGTGTGTGTGTGGGTGGATGTGTGTGTGTGTCTGTTCCACATTTTTCTCCTCACTGACTTGGTCAATCCATGTGAAATTTGGCACAGTGGTAGAGGGTCATGGGAGGATGCCAATGAAGCAATATTACATCAATTGGCCAAAGGGGGGGGCGCTATAGCAACCGATTGAAATTGCAAACTTTGAATGGGCATATCTCATGCCCCGTATGTCGTAGAGACATGAAACTTTGCACAGAGATGCCTCTCCTCATGAGGAACAAATTTGCCTCAAGAACCCATAACTTCTGCTTATATAGATTTTCCGCCATTTTGAATTTTTTGAAAAACACTTCAAATCGATCTCTTCCTAGGAAGTTTGACTGATCTGCATGAAACTGGGTGAACATAATCTAGGGACCAATATCTAAAGTTCCCTCTTGGCAAAAGTTGGAAAACTTACTAAAAATGAGCTTCTGTAAGACAATGAATATTGCGGAGGGCGTGGCTCATCACATAGAGGTGTATAACATCTCAAGGGTTTCACCCATCACCACGCAACTTTGTAGGCATATGACCACACATAATCTGAGGGGACCCCTCCATTATTGACCCCATCAAACAAAATGGGGGCGCTAGAGAGCTTATTTCTTATCTAGGCCTAACCGCCATATGGATTTTTACTAAACTTGGTAGATATGTAGAACAGGACGCCTCAAGGTGACTGGAGAAATTTAACTCTAATTGGCAACTGGGTGGCGCTATAACAACAGAAAAATGCTTACAAATGGCTAAAATATGACCGATCGCTGTGGCTCCCCCTGTGGACGAATGTTGTTGTTTTTTTTTCCTAATTTTTGGTATGACTAAGTCATGGTATGGTATGCTGTACATAATCACGGAAACTGTCAGTGTGTCATTCTGTCCCACGTTTTTCTACTCACTGATGTGGTCAATCTATGTGAAACTGCACATAGGCATTGAGGATTAGCATAGGTAGAAAGTGACAAAGCTACCAATGGGTATGGACCAGTCTATAGTATGGACTAGTTTTTCATAAATGTATGTATTTGAGGTCACCAATGAAAATGTACTCAGAGCTGTTTAAATCCTAAATGTACTCTGACATATATGTAGCTGTCAAGTTGTGTGCATCTGAAATACTGAGTGCTGTTAAGGCCATCACCGATAAGAAAAATTGAGCGTTATGGAAAGGGAAAACAGCCAGAGGGAAAACTGACTGATTTCTTCTTATTTGATTTTAAATATAATGTACCACAGGAGTGAAAACGACCTATTCAAAGTTTCCTGCTGGAACATTATTCAAGGTAATTTGCATCACATTTTCTCCAGATATATATCATTGTTTCAGAACGTCGGCGACGATAAGTGAAGCTGCATTTTTTCCTCCTTGCTGCTTTTGACACATGACGTACCTGGAGGCTCCTCAGAGAGCTGAACCAAATTATGCTAAATGAGAGAACATCACAAATGACTGCGACAAGTAACAGTGAGAGATGCATTTTGTCTTCATTTGGATTCATGAGGAATTTCACCCCGATATTACTGACAAAAAAGATGTGGAGAAGTAAAACAATGTGACGAATGAGAAAACTTTCATTCACATATATTTAAAAGCACCACAAAGGTCGCATCAAGGTCAAGGGAAGGACTCACGTCTGATGTAGGTTCAACTTCGATTTGAAGTAAAGGGTTCCCCTCATTCCTAAAAGCAAGAAGAAAAGAGGTAGAAACAAATCCATGAGAAAACTAGATTTACCACCTCACTGTTTGCCTTTCATGAACCAGTTTTGTGAGGTTATAGTAACCCTTACAAAGTCAAGGTCATCCTTGAGTCCAGGTAGACATTTGTGCCAAATTTTTTAAATTTTAACATAAATTGAAGCAAAAACAGCAAAATTGGTGCATAACAAATCACCAGAGTGCAGGAAATTTAGTGACTTTCTAGCAGACGATGTCCAAACCTATCTATGTGTCCTCCCCAATGTAGAAACAAACCCTACACCCCTGAGCCTAGGTGTTGTTACTTTACGTAATATTTTGCTCACTTGATCAGGTTTCATAATGGCGTTTTGGTTTTATAATGCCCCAAAAAAGTGAGAATGATCCATTCTTGGTGTCTAGCATCCTGATAATGTTACAACATTTACTGATGAGCCCCCTATTTATTTGGTAGGCTACAATGTTAGATATTTTAACAGTTGATACTTCTAGGGGTGAAGATTGGGAAAGAAGAGTCACTCAAATGGAGGTGAACTAAATATAAAATGTGACATCACCTTACTTGTTTTGAATAACTGTATTTAGTAATATAGTAATATATAATTTAATTAATATTTTTATTTTGTATTTATTATTGTGAATTTATCTTTTTATTTATTTTTATTAATTTGTTTTTCTAGCTGGCATATTCTCCTATTTTGTGTTGCATTCTGTTTGTATGAAAAGTGCTATAAAAATAAAGTTTGACTGAATCTGCTTTTTTATTGACTCAGAATTCAAACAGAAAAACAAAAGATACATATTTCTAACAAAACCTGCCATTTCTAACCTCCTCTGAACCAATATATAAATTGAAACCCACTCTTTACCTCCCATCCTTCAAACAATACTAGTCATAAATATTGTTACTTTCTAAATATTCCACCTTAATTTTACTCTTGCATCACAAGTAACCATGTTACATTAACTGTGAAAATTGCAGAACTGTGCTGACACAAAAAAAGAAAACAGTTTAAATCAAAATAATAAATAAATAAATATATAGATAAATAAATAAGTAAAAATAAAAAATGGTGGTCTTGGATTTTTTTCTTCTTCTTTATAAGTACTTCGTCACTGGTGCCCATGTTTCAGCATACTCTGTCTCATTATGTGTGATGTTTATCTGTGGATTTATTATTGTCCCATTCTTACACTTAACTGCTTAATTATATGGCTGAATAGTGGTGCAGTGATTATAATGCATTTCCTTTGTGTCGGCAGTCACCACACTTACAGTGTAGAGCATTAAGAGTACTCTACCAATCTAGCCACGCAGAGATATCATCTTTTATTATTCCACCACTTTGTTTTCCTTGACAAAAACCTACCACCTACATTACCCACAATACAACTCATCCACCTACTGGTGGGTCAGAGATTCAGGTGTGTGTTGCTGGCAGTAGGTAATGTAACCTCAAGCGGTGATGACGAGTGGGCTGCAGAGGTCTGGTGAGCTCACATCTTTCTCACTCCACACCTTAAATCTTTGAGTAATATTTGGAGCAACACGAATTTATTATACGGCATTTTATTGATTATAAATGAACTCATGCATCTTGTAAATATTGTGACGTTGTTGGATGAATTGTGTGATTGTGCTGATGTAAATGGTGTTAAAGCAACCTGAATTCAATCAGGTCAATCGAGGACCGTCGTGGCTTCATGCTGAGTAACGTGATGGAAGATGTATTATCATAGCTGCATTAAACAAATCATCTTACGAGCATCATCACAGTAACAAGGTGACCTGCTTTGCTTCCTTGTCAATGCAGCTGATACAACATCAGGATGTCCATATTACATGTTGTAGCATTATTGCAGTCTTATGATTTAAAATATATTTCTTAAACATAGTGTCAGTGAGCATTTAAAGGTCCAGTGTGAAGGATTTAGGGGGATATTTTGGTAGAAATGGAATATAAATAGACAATCTCACATTACCCCTAAACTAAAATCCCTTCATTGGCTCCCTGTTGAGTTAAAAATTCCCTCCAGTTCAAAATTCTCGTTCTTACGTACAGAGCATTACACGGTCAAGCTCCCTATTATATAACTGAACTACTTCACCCGTATTCTTTAGTTCACACTCTTCAATCAAATATGCTACATTTGTTGTCCATCCCTCGCACTCGCCTTACGGGAGCGATCACACCGAGATGAAACGCTAGAAACGCGACATCAGTAAAACCATTGTTTACCTATGATACGGCGCGTCTGACCGGCATTCAAGCGTCTTTTTAGACGGGCGTCTTTTTAGACGGGCGTTTTTCCGGCGTCTTTTTAGATATGCGTTTTTGTAGACGCTTCTTTTTAGACATGCGTAGATGCTGAAAAGTTAAAATATTTTCAACTTTTGAGTGTCAGACGCCAGTAGCTAGCGGAAATTGAATAAGCGCTTCCAGCGTTTCAAGCGTCTTTGAAGCACCCGCGTCTCTAGTGTCTCATTTCTGTGTGATCACCCCCTAAGACACGTGGTGATCGAGCTTTTGCTGCCGGAGCACCTAAATTTTGGGATGCTCTGCCTGCTCCCTTACAATCTGCTGACTCTGTGGTTTCCTTTAAAAGGCAGCTAAAGACAAACCTGTTTAGACAGGCGTTTGGGTAACTTGTACAGTACAGGCCAAAAGTTTGGACACACCTTTTCATTCAATGCGTTTTCTTTATTTTCATGACTATTTACATTGTAGATTCTCACTGAAGGCATCAAAACTATGAATGAACACATGTGGAGTTATGTACTTAACAAAAAAAGGTGAAATAACTGAAAACATGTTTTATATTCTAGTTTCTTCAAAATAGCCACCCTTTGCTCTGATTACTGCTTTGCACACTCTTGGCATTCTCTCCATGAGCTTCAAGAGGTAGTCACCTGAAATGGTTTCCACTTCACAGGTGTGCCTTATCAGGGTTAATTAGTGGAATTTCTTGCTTTATCAATGGGGTTGGGACCATCAGTTGTGTTGTGCAGAAGTCAGGTTAATACACAGCCGACAGCCCTATTGGACAACTGTTAAAATTCATATTATGGCAAGAACCAATCAGCTAACTAAAGAAAAACGAGTGGCCATCATTACTTTAAGAAATGAAGGTCAGTCAGTCCGGAAAATTGCAAAAACTTTAAATGTGTCCTCAAGTGGAGTCGCAAAAACCATCAAGCGCTACAACGAAACTGGCACACATGAGGACCGACCCAGGAAAGGAAGACCAAGAGTCACCTCTGCTTCTGAGGATAAGTTCATCCGAGTCACCAGCCTCAGAAATGGCAAGTTAACAGCAGCTCAGATCAGAGACCAGATGAATGCCACACAGAGTTCTAGCAGCAGACCCATCTCTAGAACAACTGTTAAGAGGAGACTGCGCGAATCAGGCCTTCATGGTCAAATAGCTGCTAGGAAACCACTGCTAAGGAGAGGCAACAAGCAGAAGAGATTTGTTTGGGCCAAGAAACACAAGGAATGGACATTAGACCAGTGGAAATCTGTGCTTTGGTCTGATGAGTCCATATTTGAGATCTTTGGTTCCAACCGCCGTGTCTTTGTGAGACGCAGAAAAGGTGAACGGATGGATTCCACATGCCTGGTTCCCACTGTGAAGCATGGAGGAGGAGGTGTGATGGTGTGGGGGTGTTTTGCTGGTGACACTGTTGGGGATTTATTCAAAATTGAAGGCACACTGAACCTGCATGGCTACCACAGCATCCTGCAGCGACATGCCATCCCATCCGGTTTGCGTTTAGTTGGACGATCATTTTTTTTTCAACAGGACAATGACCCCAAACACACCTCCAGGCTGTGTAAGGGCTATTTGACCAAGAAGGAGAGTGATGGAGTGCTGCGGCAGATGACCTGGCCTCCACAGTCACCGGACCTGAACCCAATCGAGACGGTTTGGGGTGAGCTGGACCGCAGAGTGAAGGCAAAGGGGCCAACAAGTGCTAAACACCTCTGGGAACTCCTTCAAGACTGTTGGAAAACCATTTCAGGTGACTACCTCTTGAAGCTCATGGAGAGAATGCCAAGAGTGTGCAAAGCAGTAATCAGAGCAAAGGGTGGCTATTTTGAAGAAACTAGAATATAAAACATGTTTTCAGTTATTTCACCTTTTTTTGTTAAGTACATAACTCCACATGTGTTCATTCATAGTTTTGATGCCTTCAGTGAGAATCTACAATGTAAATAGTCATGAAAATAAAGAAAACGCATTGAATGAGAAGGTGTGTCCAAACTTTTGGCCTGTACTGTACGTTTTTTTTGTATTTTGTGTATTGTTGTTGTATATTTTAAATTTGTCTTTTTTTTCGTGTGTGTGCCAATAGTTTTGCTAGTTGTGCACTTTTCACGACATGGTCTGAGTAGTCACTTCATCCCTGTGTTTTCTTTCTTGTATACTGCCCTTGTAAAGCACTTTGTGACCTATGTCTGCGAAAAGCGCTACATAATCAAATTTTACTTACTCATAATAAATAATAAGTATGTTTTCATTAGTGTATAATCAGCTAAAATTAAGAATAGTGTTTTCGCTACCTTAGAATAAACCTTTTATATCTACATAGGCGGTGGGTCCTTGTCCATGGAGTCATTCATGTTGCACTACCATGTTTCTACAGAAACCCATAATGGACAAACCAAACACTAGCTATAGATAGGTTATTTTAGGCCCTGCATAGACCCAATCTGCCAATTGTTTTTCTCTCTATCTATTTCCATCCTTCCCCAAGGCTTAGTTGTTCCTTTCCCTTTGGGTATTTCAAGGTCTATAGTTTATTTTGGAGAGGAAGTGATCTCTGCGGATAATTCACCTTCCAGTACAAACCTCCTGGACAATGAACACTTGAGAAATTCTAACCTGGAGAAGTTTCAGCTGGATGCTAGTAATTCCCTCTGATTCTTACTCACTGTTGCTTTAGTATGTGTTCAGTATGAGCAAATACTATCTGTGATG